CCCGCCATCCCCAACCAAACCTGTGGACCTGAGCTCACGTTTGTGCGGGGGGTGAGGGTTGCGGCCCCGTCGTCTGCTGTCAGGGCGGCCCAGTGAAGAAAGCGATGGCCTTGGTGGCGTTTTTTTTTTAAACTGAAGGAAAACGCCCACAGAGTGTTTATGAAATTTGACTGAATTTACTTTTTGTTACCCCTTGACGTGTGTCTTTATAAGACACGCCTCTTTAACGGACAAATAGGAATGTTAGCTAAAAATAATGATTCAAAAAAAAAAAAAAAAAAAAAAAGCCCCAAACAACGTCGAGCCCGATTACGAGCGTAGTTTATTTCTTTGTCATTTTTACGGCACTCTTCAGTGTCGTCGGTTTTGTCGGTTTACATCCCCCGCTGAATAGTCTGCTGTGGAAGCTCATGATGTGTTGACAAGGCGCGCTGGGACGGGACCAGAGAACATCAGCTGTTATGGAAGCTTGTTTCTCTTTGTGACGCGGCGCTGCGAAGGTGAACGTCTCACCAGGAGAAACTGAAGGTATCAATGAATCCATTCTGTTTTTAGCCTATATCCCCGTTGTTTTGCTACTTTTTTGTATTCTCATGTATTTTTATATATAAATATACTTAAAAATTTTCTGTCGTTCACTTTTTATTAAAGTAATATTTTCAAGACCACAGCTGTTTCTTAAGTGACACGGAGGCTCATTCCTTTTGTTTGACCCTAAAGATTCTTTGTTGTTGTTTTTTTTTTCCAAAGAAATGTGGTGCATTTAAAGTACACAACAGGTTTGCTCCCCAAACTCAAAGCCCCTCCCCCCTCTCTCTCCTGCGGTGGTATAAATGATTCCAGAGGTCAAACTTTGTGATGGCCATTCGTTCATCTCTTCACTTGTTTTTATTTTGAAACACACACGTGACCTCTTGTAGCCTTCTGGTGCTTCGTCAAAGCGAGTTAAGGTCAAGAAGAATATAATTGGATTTTTCAAATGTTACAGACACACGGGAGACGGGATCATTTTCTTCCACGTGAAAGAAGAGCGAATGTGCGTGCACACGGGGACATTCTGTGTTAATGTGTGTATTGTATTTGTTCTGTCTCTAAAATACAGTATGTACAACCCAGACGTGATAGCTTACACTCTGCCATTCTTGGTCATGACGTGGCTGTTTCCCCTCTCACTCCTTTTCTTCTCGATGTAAATGTGTTTACCTTCTGGCACTAGTGATTGTACTTTAAGTGCACCTAGTGGCGTTTGGATTTTTTGGGAACTGAACCACGTGTTAGGGTCCAGTGTTACATTGTTTTTTCTCTTTGGCCTACAACATATGAATGTGAAAAAAAATACATGACACAAACTGATGTGGACCAGACGTACATATACATAACAGTAGTACAGTATGTGTGTATTTAACAGTAATCTTTTTGCAAAGCAGTCAGTACAGTAGTTGTCGCAGTTGTTTTACCAGTAGAGGGCGGTATTGATAGAGCAGTTCTCTTCTTTTTTTTTCTTCTGACCATAAGCTTCTCAGGCGTGTGGCATATTATGCAGACTTCATAAAACACTAATAAAGATTTTTATTCTCATGATTCAGTTTCTTGTCGTTGTGTTTTTGTTACTGTTGACCAGAGTACCCTGAGACCGAGACAAGACCAAGACATTTAGGGATCAAGACGAGGACAAGACCAAGACATTTAGGGATCAAGACGAGGACAAGACCAAGACATTTAGGGATCAAGACGAGGACAAGACCAAGACATTCAGGGATCAAGTCCAGGACAAGACCAGGACAAGACCAAGGCAGGGCCATAGCGAGACAAGACAAAGACATTTAGGGATCAAGACCAGGACAAGACCAAGACATTTTAGGGATCGAGACCGAGTAAAGATGTAGACCAGGACATACCTGAGACCAGAGTGCTCCGAGACAAGACCAAGGCATTTAGGGATCAAAGCCAAGACATTTAGGGATTGAGGCTGAGTCAAGACCAAGACAGAGCGAGACTGAGTAGAGACAAAGACCAAAGAAATGACTGAAAAATCAACATCGTTTTGTGTTTAGGGGGTATGTCACTCACTCGATTATTTCAAATAATTAAAAGCCTGTCTCTTAATGACGCCTGTCCCAAATAAAAGCAGGGTCAATTCACAGACTGGAGAATAAAGTTTTTCAGTATCAATGTATAACTACATAACAAATGATGGGCCAACAATACAAAAACTTGTGAGACAAGTTGTGCCTCTCAAAAGCAATGAACACAATTTATTTATAATTATTAGGTTGACATTAAAATGTATCAGATGGTGTTATATTGAAGTATTTCCTCTTACCTACTGATCGTTCCACCAACATTAATTATCACAAGGTTACAGTTGGGAGGAAAAGAACTGAACAGGAAGGCAACACTTTATCTCGAAGCTGTGAATGGGTTTGTTCCTCCTCGGTCACCGTAGGCAACGTCATACACAAATACAGTCAACCACATCCATCAGCTAGCTTCTTGCTAACAAAAATGTCTTTTACGTTGTATTCTCTCATTCAAGCTGCGATTTTATGCGTCAATGCTGTTGCTGTGTTACACGAAGAACGATTTCTAAGCAAAAGTAAGTGGAGTGAGACTTTTAAACACCCGTATGTGTCTGTGGAAATGTGGAGAAAACTGAATGGCTAATGCTAACCACTTAGCTACGTGGTCTGAAAACGGTCGGTAACTATTTTGGAACCTCGCAAAACAACTTTATTGGTGATGAATTAGGAGGCTCAGGAATGTCCTGCTTGAAGCTGTGCACAATGTTTTCCACTTTCTTTTTGATTTATCTCAAGATTCAAACAACACACTTTAATGTCTCTGGTTTCATGGTCACATTCATTGATTATAACATACATGTGAAGGTTCAGAGTAACTGCTCTGTGGTTACCATGGACACCAACTTTACAATAGAATGTTCGGGTTGCTTGGCAACAGTCTAGTTTCAGTGAAACTGGAACTAGTTAAGTTGGTGGAGTTAAAAACTAACCTGTAGTTCATTTTTACTTTATATCACTATTTTCTTCTTGTTGTATTAAAGTAATATGACACTGGAGGTGGAGATGTTGTTCTGGATACCAACACTGATGTCATTATCTTCAGACCCAATCACAGCAGGGCTGATATTCTCTTCTGATACTGCTTTTATAACTGAGTCTCTCTGAATGTTTTAACCCTCTTCAGTCGGCTGGGGAGTGGACCAAAGTGTCGGAGGTTTCGGTGATGAACCAGGCATCAAGGCGCAGATGATGACCCTCATTCGCTCTGTGAGGACGGTCATGAGAGGTAGGAGCTCATGTGACTTTCACTCTTAAGACAGATACCATTAGTATCCTAGGTTGTGTTCATACAATCTGCCTGTCTTCCTTTTCAGTGCCGTTGATCGCTGTGAACTCAGTCTGCATTGTGCTGCTGCTCCTCTTTGGATGACGAGATGGGACAAACAGTTCAGACGTCAGGAGAACACGCAGTCCCCTCAGGAACCTTTCTGCAGGAGCATCTTCTCTCTTTGGCACAGACCATGTTTACCACCAAGTCTCTTCATTTGATCATTCACATGAAGTCTAGACGAGATGTTTGATGAGCTAGTTTTTTTACGACACAATACTCCAAAACGGTTACCTTCCCTCCTTGATTGTGAAGTACGTTAAAGGTCGGGTTGTTAAGAGTTGATTTGCCTTTAATAAAATGATTGCTATGAACACAATTTTTTAGGTTGTTTTTTGAAGCTGACTGCAATATGATGTGTTTGTACGCTGAAAACGTGGAAACTATGGATAAACTTTCACTGATTGCTGATTTCCTAAAGTTATTGAGAACTTCACAAAGTGCGTCTGTGCACTGCTGGAGTGACGGTGAGATCAAAGACGGTCACATGGAGAGCTGGCACGCCACTGTTTGTGGCCTGCCGGTTTTAAAGCCACGTGCTGAGTTTGGTGGCATGGCACCGCAAGGTCAGCGGTAGCACCCCAGCAGGGGGCCGGCCCCATGAACCACTCGTCTCTCACACCAGCACCGCCAGGGTTGACGAGAGCCACTGCAGATACCGTTAAACTTCTGATGTCAATGTCACAAACACTACAGTACACTTTATTCTTAAAATAGATTCACAATTAATTTCATCCAACACAGGAACACGTGAGTACAGGAGGACGTCCCACTAACTGTTCACAAAGGTTCATACACATACATACAAAATAGTGAGATGTAACGAAACAACATTAGCAGCACTTTAAATATATTATAACAAAAATAGAAAGTAAAGAAAAAGCTTGAAACGTATATGAAAAGAAGTCATCATGCAGGTAGGCTAGTGGTTATGTAGTGCCCCGTGTACGGAGACCTCATGGTGCTTTCCATTTACTTCAGGTCCCGGAGCTTGGGATAACGTCACACCTGAGTGAATCTCATTCCAGTTGCGTGTTGGCAATAACTTGTCCAAGCAACATGGACGTCTCAAGGAGTAGCTTTATTTTGTACGCTGCTTAAACGTTACTACTGACGTTACTGACGTAAGTCGGAATTGCTACTTAAGGGGGCATTACAGAGTACGTATCAGACCGGCAACTCAGTATTTCCAACTCCCAACATCAAATGGAACCCACGAATAATCCTCCAAGCGGGGGTCATTGCATTTAAAGAGACACACACACCAAAACGGAGCGTTCTGAGAGAGCTGGTTTATACAGAGTCACAAACCTCCTCTGGTGCTTGATTCATGTTATATTTTGACCAAAGCACAGCACAGATGTGGGATAATATGTCGTCTTTAAAGAACAAACTTATCTAGTAATTTGTGTCATCAATATTTGTAAATATTGGATGCCTGTAAAGCTTTCTTGATTTTTAATACTTTAAAGATTCATAAAATGTCTGTAGTTCTGTATATTGAGTGTTTGTTTGAAAGACAATGAGAAATCTTTCTTTGTGAATATGATTCTTAACCAAAACACACAAAGCGCTTTTTGTCTGTTTGTCCCAGCGCGCACTCCGTACTTTCCCAGCGTCACACACTCGGTGGGAATGTTGACTTAATGTAATTTGAAGGTGTATTAATAGGAAGTTCCTCTAACCTCGTTGAGCCTGCTAAATGAAATGATTTTGACGCCATGGGGACAGCGCAGAGTTTCATAGTGTCGTCGCTCACAGTCTGCTCCGTGTGTTTCCTCTATGTTCACATTTACTTATCACATATGGCGCTCAAAAGAAGTGTCCTCGACGACCACAGTCTCCCGAGCTCCGTGTTTCTGTACATCAAATACTTGATCCGGATCCTGACTCGGAGGAGAGGCCACCTGTACTCAGAAAGCAAACAGAGTGAGGTGGACTACACAGCTCTGAACTGCAGGTAAGGTCAAAGGTGAACTTAGAAACGGGAAGCTTTTCAAACATAAGTTGACAGCTACAAGTCGAGTCTGCGTTTTCAAGGCTGCAGGTCCCCCTGTTGAGGAGGTTTTGCAGTGCTGCAGGGTACGGTTGGGACTACCCAGACACCGACTACAGAGACACCCCCCTGTGCTTCCCTGAGTTCCTGTGCCGCAGACTGCTCCTCATGGTGCTGACTGATGGAAAGTTCAGACTCAGTCCTGCAGGTAAACATCTCTCACATGTTCAGCAGCTCTCTTATTTAATGCTGATCGGCCATATGAAAACTAGAAATGCAGCAATCCATCTTTTTGTTAGTTCCAGGTCGTCTCGAGACCACTTTATGAAGGTCTCGGTCTAAGTGAGTGACAAGCCCCCTAAACACAAGATGATGGTCTGTCATTGATAGTTATGGTCTTACATGTCTTGGTCCTGACTCAGTCCCTAAATGTCTTGGTCTTGACTCGGCCCCGATCCCTAAATGTGTTTGGTCTTCTCTCTGTCTCAGAGCACTCTGGTCTTGGTCTCCATTAGTCTGGTCTTGACTACATCACTAGTTCTAGGCCGTTAATTAATTGTGTTTCAATTTCAGTTTCCATGATTATGAAATCAAGATAATGGAGATTAAAATCTTAATAAAGACTTGGAAGTGTTGTGGTATGACTGGTTCTTTTTGCAGGTCTGGTTCGGGTCCGTCAGAGTTTGAAAACCCTGGAGCCGGTTGATGAACTGAAGAAGGGTGTGTTCATGCTGCGGGTTCGAGTCCTGGAGTACCGGCAGCTGGATGCAGGAGTGGAGGTGGACGTCTGCCTGAGCGCCACCTCTCGTACGGGACGTCTGGTGTGGGAGAGCGTCCTGACTCTGCTGTCAGAAAGAAAGGAACACAAAGTGGGCGGATGTTTACTGAAGAATGAAAACCAGAGTGAGCAGTGTTACGATGATTTTAGACTTTTTTAAAAGGGGAACATAAAGAAACGTCTGACTCTAATGAAGGCGTTCTGTCTTTCTCCTCGTTCTAACAGGCCAGCAGGACGAGCCTGTCCTGGAGAATGTGAAGCAGGTAGACTTACCAGTTCCCAAGACTGCTGCTCTGCAGGGTGTCTGGTCCTTCTCTGACTCCTCCCCCTTTCGGCTCCTTTTTCTCTTGGCCTGGCTCCTCGGCAGGATGCAGACTTCCCCGAGTCTCTGGATGCTGTCTGTCTGCCTGGCTGAGATAGAAAAGCACAAAGGTGATATATATTTCATCCCACTGTTGTTCAAACCTGACTGTTAGAGCTTTTACACTTACAGAAAACTCCTGAAAAACATCCTGATATTTCCAGCCTCCTCGTATTTATTCTGCAGAAAGTCAGAGTAAGCTGATGTGAGAACACAGCAGGATATAATCAGGAGAATTCACCTGGAGCCTTTATTCACATGTGATCGCTGCACGACCATAGACTGTCTGCACGCCACCTCTATTATCTCTGTGCTCTAATGAACCTGCTGCTGCATGTTTCCTGTTCTCCAGTATGTTCTTCTCCACTCTTTAGTTCACATTGAGATTCTCTTCAACTACACGTAGCATTGATAGACAGACACATATTCTCATTATCACTAACAAAGACCACACCAAGAAAGACATTGATTTAGAACAGTTTACTGTAATATGCAGGCAGAGATCAAAATGATGAGCGAGGTTGGATAATCAGAAGATTGAGGGTAGACAGATGGAAGATGGAGGTACGGGTGAAGGGATGTTCCTGAACCAAGTTTTAAGAAACCATAAATAGCGTCGTATAGAGGACTGTTGATTCATCCACTACTTGTTTTTTTAGCTCTTTAAGATCTTATGTCAGTCATACTCATTATTTGTATTGTTGTCATGGTTACTGAGCGGTCCTTCTCCTTTGTCTCATCATCATCAGGGGTAGGAGTCATCACAGCTCCCGTCAGCATCACAGCCCAGTTCACGGAGCCTCTGTGGACACCAGGCAGGGTGACGCTCAGGTTTTGGGACAGCACTGAAAGTATCGGGGGTCCGGGGGGGCCAGGGGATCCGGGGGGTCCGTCTTCAGCCCGAGGCGTCCGTTTCCAAATGCAGCACCATGAGAGGAACACGTGTCACGTGATGGGACTGATTTCAAAGTGTTGATGAACACAGAAGGTTGAACTTTGTTTGTCAATAATAATTACTGTGACGTTCTTCTTCTCCTGTTTCAGTTCTAACAGAGTTTAAATATTAACCCTTTCACACTACGTTCATCACAAAGTGTCAGGAATGTGTAGAAGTGTGTGGAAGCAAGTGTGTGAATGTGTAGGTGTGACCTGCGGAGTAAAAAAGCTTTGAGGAGTCAGAAGACTAAGTCACGACCCGCCTCTTAAGGCCTGAACAAATCACAGGAAACAAACGGGTTTTAACCAATGGGTGTAAAGTTTATTACCAACATACCACAACAATACAAACATGGAGCTGTGGTGTGACGCTCAGGATGGATGGAGAGAGAGAGAGTGGGAGGTTGACAGCCTGTTCTTAAATAACCTAACACCTGGGAGACTGCTCATGTCTACTGGCTGGAGGACCGTCACAACTAGAAAATAAATATACAAGTTCAAGTCCATTTCCAATCTTGTTTTACAACATGCAGTGTCAATAAATGCATCTAAATGGAATTCTAATTATTTTAAGATTTATTTTTGGGCTTTTATTGTAGAGATAGGACAGTGGATAGAGTCAGAAACCAGGGAGAGAGACTGGGGAATAACATGCGGGAAAGAAGCCAAAGGCGGGATTTGAACCTGGACTGCCTGCTTGGAAGACCACAGCCTCTGTACATGGGGCGCGCAGACTAACCACTGCCCCACCAGTGCCCCTTATTCTAATTCTTGAATATCTGTAGGTATTGAGCTATATAGCTGAGAGCTGTATGCAGTCTTGTAGATCAGTAAAGCAGGTCAAAAGTTGAATCTGTGTCCCTCCTTAGAAACACAAAGTGTCCTTTTTTTATATCTGTGCTCATGATAAAGACGTTTAGACGGCCTAAATGGAACTTGTGTTGTGTTCTTTTTGCAGACTGAGTGGGCGGAGTCAGAGAAGCTGTTCCCCCGTGCTCTGAGTCTTTATGCTTAATTGTCTCATGAGTGAATGTTCATCTTTAATCTGAAACTGAGCAGTTTGTAAGATGACAAGTCTTCTTGTTGACAATACTGGGCGGCTAACGCAGTCGTCTCCCCCCCCGCCCACACACACACAGGGAACGACTTCTTTTCAATATTTGATTTCATGTATGTGGAGGTCTATCCTCGTGTATTATTTAGTGAAACACGTTCAGTGCATGGGACTGAGAGAAGCAGCTTCTCATGCATCGCTGCACAAACACATTTCTGGCACCGTGTCTCAGCACAAGAAAAGGACAAGAGTTGATGTATAGTCTGGGTTTCTAAGACAATTTAAAAAGAAGAAACTGACTTTGTTTTTTAAAGGATTGAAGGACAGGTTTTGGGCTAGATAGAATAACAGCTCCTCTCATTCATTCTTTGTATTCTAAAATGAGAGAAAATAGAATTTAAAAAACATCCATTTTGGACTTTTAGCAACGGCAATCCAGGAGGTTAATCTGCTTTTATTTTTTATAAGAAGCTGATCTGCCTTCTGTGCAGAAAAGGGGCCACATGTTCATCATCACTGAGGGGGAGGGGAGCGGGGGTCTACAAAGGTCTGATTAAATAAAATAAAAAAATCCTCTGAACCTCACAGATTTCCAGTTTATGTCTCCTTAACTTCAACATGAAACAGCTTGTGGACTGTGTAATATTTACTTTACTTTTTTAATTGAACAGTTTTATGAATAATAAGATTTAGACTTTGCAGACGAGGCTCGATGTTTCCAGCCTCCATGAGAAACTGAGATTATGGTCTGCTTAAGATTCATGTTCAAACACAAATATGAGACGGACATATGACAGGGGCGTATCCAGACTCCTCTGACTGGGGGGGCTGAACCGGGGCCACTGACTTCTGGGGGGGGGTGGGGGGGGGGCAGCGGTGGTAGGTCAACCAGAACTACTCACATTCACACCTACGGACAATTTAGAGTCAGCAGTTAAGCTAACGAGCATGTCTTTGGACTGTGGGAGGAAGCTGGAGTACCCGGAGAGAACCCACACATGAACGAGGAGAACATGCAGACTCCTCACAGAGATACTCCTGTCAGACGGGGATTCAAACCAGGAACCTCCTCACAGAGAGACTCCTGTCAGACGGGGATTCAAACCAGGAACCTCCACACAGAGAGACTCCTGTCAGACGGGGATTCAAACCAGGAACCTCCTCACAGAGAGACTCCTGAAGAACTGGGATTCAAACCAGGAACCTCCTCACTGTGAGGGGACAGTGCTAACCACTGCAGCAACAAGTCTGCGTGAAAAATAACAACCTAAAATTTCTGATATTTTTCAACCAGACAGAACAAAGAAATGGAACAAAACCTTTATTTAAAGAAAACAGAAAATTACTCCCTATATCCGAAGTCTCTATTTAAAATATTAACCAAATAAAATGGGTGACATTAAAATGCAGAGGAACCAATATTATTATTTTTTTTTTTTATATTTAATATTTTACATTTTTAAATTCTATTTTATATATTGTAATATATACTTATACTGTATTATTTATGTTGTTGCTAGTTCTGCTTTATTTCCTTGTTAATTGTTTAGCACCAATACACCAAGTCAAATTCCTTGTATGTGTAAATGTACTTGGCAATAAACCCAGATTCTGATTCTGATTCTGAAGTGAGCGACTTAGACCAGAGATAAATTATGATGGCTGGACGACTGGGTTGGAGCACCTCCAAAGCTGCAGCTCTTGGTGGGTGTTCCCAGTCTGCAGTGGTCAGTACCAACAATGGTCAAACAGTTAAACCAGCGACCTGGCTCATTGATGTGAGTGGGGTGCAAATGCTGGCTCGTGGTCTGACCCAACAGAAGAGCTGCTGCAGCTCATATAGCTGAAAAAAGTTACTCCAGGTTCTGACCAGGCAGTGCATCGCAGTTGGTTGTGTTTTGGGCTACGTATCTGCAGATCGGATCCCTGACATTTGGCAAGTGAGCACCAAAACTGGACCTCAGGGATGTGGGATGGAGGACCCACCTTGTAACTTACAGAGCTTAAAGGATCTACTGTTAACACCTTGGTCCCAACCACATCCCACCTTCAGAGGTCTAGATAAGTCCATGTTAGGGGTGTTTTCAGAAGACAGGGGGGCCAACAGGGCAGCTGTGGCTCAGTTGGTAGAGTCGAGTCGGTCGTCTCTCAACCTGAAGGTCAGGAGTTCGATCCCCAGCTCCTGCAGCCACGTGTCCGGTGTGTCCTTGGGTGAGACACTTAACCCCAAGTTGCCCCCGCTGCTTCGTCTTCTGTGTTTGATTAATACTGTGGTCACATGGTCATAATGTTCTGACTCATGGGTAAAATAATCTCACCGTATGTTACCTTATAGTTATTCTACTTTAAAGAAAGCAGGTGTCTGAAAGGTGAGTGTCGTAGTAGATGTTCAGTTGATTGTTTCCAGGTTTGAAAATGTACAGCTGTATGAATGTGAAGGTCATTCCATTTGGGGCAAAAAAAAAAAAAACCACAAGTTCAGCAAAAGCCCCAAATAACAAAATCAGCAATCAGTGAAGCATCCTGCGCCTGCCTCCCTGCGCACACTGAGCAGTTGTAGTTTCTCCGAGGGGGGAGGGTGTGTGTGAGGAGGAGAGTCTCTGTTTAAAGACGGAGGAGGAGGAGGAGAAATCATTTTTCAGCAGCCATACTACAGAGCAGAGGGACGCACGCACGCTGGGTCATCCCGCCCCTGCCATGTGATTCTCGTTACAGCAGCAGCTCCAGGACGAGTTCGACCAAGGAACGTTTGAGGTAAATCTGTTTTCTGAATGTTTGACTTTAAATGGGTCATGAAAGGTATGATGTCTGTGTTCATCTTGTGTTTACCTGTGTGGTGCTCATATAGCCTTAAAGTCACAGTGCTGCTGTTTGCAGACACACTGAACTCCCCATCGTTCTCATGGGATAGTTTCAGTCACTTTACCAGAGGACATGTACATTCAGTCCTGCAGTGAAGTTCTTCATGCTGAGATGAATCTTGAGGTCTATGAGGGTTCATTCATGACATTGTCAGATGACTTAATGTCACTTTGAGTATATAGAGGCCACCTTGAGACAGGATTAATGTGTCATTTTTGTCCTTAAATTTGTCACATTTAATCCCTCTCATGGTTACTGCTGCAGCCACCAGCCAGGTGAAGACCATCATGCAACCGCAATATATTTTTATCTATTGTCGCTCGTTCACCATCGCAAAGCTGGGAGTGCAGCCCACTGGTGCTCGCCCGCGTTAACATGTACATTGTTGTTATAATTCATTTATGGAGTCCCGATTCTGTCATGCAGCCAGTCGAGTGTAAGAAGGCCAGTCAGCTACGCTCCTGTGCAGAATCTAGACTAAAGAGGTGCAAAGTGGAAACGCTCCTCCTCCCTTTAACCTCATAGTTAATGTAGCTGATTGGTTTAAATGTAATTCATCCTTCATATCTGAACATTTAGTGTCATGAAGAGTCGTTCCTGCTGTGACTGTAGCTCTTCTGCTGTACCTTTAAAACACCTGACATCCTGCCTCACTCTCCCTCTGAAGTCACTCGCACTGATGCATTCATCCCTTCATCTCCAAAGTTGTATTTGTGGAGAAGGGGAGTGTGTGTGTGTGTGTGTGTGTGTGTGTGTGTGTGTGTGTGTGTGTGTGTGTGTGTGTGTGTGTGTGTGTGTGTGTGTGTGTGTGTGTGCTTGAGAGACATGAAACACACGGAGCACTTTAGAGGAGTTCATCCGTCTCTGTCTTCAAAGAGCTGCTCCTCTGGGAGTTGAAGTTATTTTTTGCTTCTTTTAAAAGTTCCAGCCTCGTTTATGTATTCACCGGGTCCGACGCTGAATGACAGATACAACTATTCCACAGCACTTACTATCACCTGTACAAGGAGCGGCTGTGGCTCGGTGGTAGAGTCAGTCGACTCTCAAAAGGACTCTCGATCCCCAGCTCCTACAGCTACATGTCTGATGTGTCCTTGGGCCCAAGTTGCTCCCACTGCTTTGTTGCAAGCGTGTGAATGTGTGTGAATGGATTAGTTAATACTGATGGACTCTTTACACAGCAGCCTCTACCATCAGTGTGTGGTGGACACTGAAGCTTCAATGTTTATCCAGCTCTGCATGGGTCTGTAAACCTTTCTGTGTTCTAACCTCTCTCCATTTTTCAAAAGCATCTCCAATATTGATCCTAGTTTGAGCACGTTTCTGCTCGTGGAGCTTATTAGAAACATACAGAGGCTTTTTAGGTCGGGTACAATCACTTCTATCTGAACCACTTCTCTTGCCTGCTTCCATCACTGCAACACCTGTTGACCTGATAACTGCTCTCATATCTGGCAAACCGAGGGGCGTCCAAAACGGCCGTGTGGGGGTGTGTCTTAAAAGTGCCTACCTTCTCTGGTCCAAACAAATCCAGAGCATTCAGGACCAGAATCTAAAGTTAGAAGGAGGACATACTGGCTGCTGCATTGTTGTCAGAGAAGCCAGCACTTCAACATAGCATGTTTCCTTAATGTCTGATCAT